TATATATATATATATATATATATATATATATATATATATATATATATTTAATCTCCTTAAAATGTCCATGATCTATCATTTCAGATGGAATCAAAAGGTGGAGAAAAACAAAAACGGTAAAATTACTAAAGTAGTTTGTTGGTTTTAAATGTAGAGAAAAAATGTATTATTTGTGTTTTTAATTAATAAAACACTGTACATATTTATTATTACAAAAACAAATAGGGTGCGTGGGAGTTTTTCCAAGGGCAGCACGGTGGCGCAACTGGTAGAGCTGCTGCCTCTCAGCGAGCAGGTCCTTGGTTCAAACCCCGGTCCAGGGGCCTTTCTGGGTGGAGTTTGCATGTTCTCTCCGTGCATGCGTGGGTTTTCTCCAGGTACTCCGGTTTCCTCCCACAGTCCAAAAATATGCATGTTAGGCTGATTGGTAACACTAAAATTGTCCCTAGGTGTGAGTGAGAGAGTGAATGGTTGTTTGTCTCGTTTGTCTCTATGTGGCCCTGTGATGGACTTGCGACCTGTCCAGGGTGTACCCCGCCCCTCGCACAGTGATTGCTGGACATGGGCACCAGCGACCCCCGTGACCCAAAATGGAATAAGTGGGTAAAGAAAATGGATGGATGGATGGATGGATGGACGGGAGTTTTTCCAACCAGTCTACATGCGCTTTGTGGACTTGGAGAAGGCGTTTGACCACGTCTCTCAGGGAACCCTGTGGGGGGTACCAGGCCCTTTGATACGGGATGTTAGGTCCCTGTATGACCGGTGTCAGAGCTTGGTTTGTATTGTCGGAAGTCGGGCTCATTCCCGGTGAGACATGGACTCCGCCAAGGCTGCTCTTTGTCACCGATTCTTAGAGCTGAGTACCGAACAGAGGTTCTTAAATGGCACCGACCGAACTGCACCGGTCGGTGTATGGATTGAAATGTCACTCTTTTTTTGGTGTCAGGTTTCGGTATTGGCTGCAACGTGTCACGTGGTTTCAGCACGCAGGCACGTAAAACACCAGACATATGACAAACAGACTACGTGTTTACATCAAGAGCTGTATAGAGCTGCCGTAACTAATCTATGTATAATGTATGTCTATGGTGCTGGTGACACCCACAGACGGGGTTCACGTGTGCAGCGCGTGTTGTCGAACGGCTTCGACAACACGCGAGCAGAAAGTTGCTTCGTTTTTCTCTGCAAGAAGACAAGACGGACAGCAGCCTCCCCCCTCCTCCTCTCAGCGTTAGTCAGTCTCTGTGTGTTAAACGGACTCGATCAACATTCCACACCGGACTCCTCTTCATCAAAGAACTCCCGAGGACGGAGCTGTGTCTGTGTTTCAGCTGGTGAGTTTACGTTTGTTAACATTACTGCAGCTTAACACGTACATCGCAGTGAATTAAACTAGAATCCATGTAACGCTAACTTTGAGATATTAGTGTGTAAATTTATTTTATCTACGTAGCTAGCTAAACTCAGAAGCTAACTAAACATTGACAGTAACAGATAAAGCTTAGCTTGTAAACATGTGCTCATCCATCCAGTCAGCTGCTTAAACAGTTCAACTAATGTTCACTGTTTATGTTAATGTTCGCCTCACAGGAGGTTCTGACCCAGATGTGAGGACAGACAGACAAAAGATAAGCGAGGTGGGGGCCACAGGACAGTCACAAACTTTGTTGTTAAAAGTTTGCTGCCTTTTTCTACAGTGGAGGCTCCATAGTGGAGGTAAAGGATTTTGTTGACCAGTTAAGCTTTTATTTCTCAGCCTAGATAATGTTTTTGAGCAATAATAACACAACCATGTTATTGTTGATGTTTTGTTCTCATGTCAATTAGGGAGATGATCAGAGCCCTAAACCCCAGAGAACCACAGAGAAGATTCAGAGACACAGAGGTGCAGATGTCTACATCAACCCTAACCTCAGTGAATCCAGTGACCTGCTGGTGGAATGTGAGGGACAATATGTCAGTGCTATCAAACTGACAACCAGGTATCTGTGTGTGCAACAAGCATCATCCACACCCTCAGAGCGGACATTTTGTACTGCTGGAGACACCATCAGCCAGGAGCGGGCTTGTTTGTGTCCAGAGAAAACAGACATGTTGATTTTTCTGATGAAAAACTATTCAGTGAAAAGGTCCTCAGTGTGTAGCAGTGAGCATTAGACACTGACGTGTCACTGGTTTGAAACTGTTCTTTTGAACTGGAAATTATTTGTTTATTTTTATGCAAGAAAACTGCTTGGAATAGAAAAATACCAAAGTTAAAAAATAAAATTCACAATATGTACTGTAATGTGTAACATAATTTTATTCTTGTTAGAATTAATAGTAATTACAAAATTGGTACCGAAAAAAGAACCGTCCAAGAAGTGAAGGTACCGACACCGGTACCGATACAGATTTTTTTAGAAAGGTACAGAGCACCTTCTGATGACACCAATAGTCATCAGGTCGTGATCTACAACTTCTGCTGGAGCGGTTCGCAGCCGAGTGTGACGCGACCGGGATGAGGATCAGTTCCTCCAAATCCGAGGACATGGTCTTGAGCCGGAAAAGGGTAGAGTGCCTTCTCCAAGTCAAGGAGGAGGTCCTGCCCTAAGTGGAGGAGTTCAAGTATCTCGGGGGTCTTGTTCACAAATGAAGGAAAAATGGAGCGAGAGATAGATAGGCAGATAGATGCAACATCTGCAGTGCAGCAGGCGATGTACCGGTCTGTTGTGGTGAAGACTAAAATAAGGGGCTTTAATGGCCCCTTACTGGGGGCCGAGATGGGGAAGAGGAAGGGCAGCCGACCTGGGACCAGAAAGTCGCGGTTCGACTCCAAGCCATTCCCACAAGTCGTGGTGTCTCTGAGCAAGACACCCAATCCCTAATTGCCCCCCGGGCGCTCAATATCTGCCCACTCCTCCACCTGGGCGTATCTTAGGTGTGATGGGTTAAATGTAGAGAACCAGTGTCATCATTGTATGGGAACATACAATGACAACAACATATAGCTTTTATACTTGTATATAAACCTTTAATAAAACAGCACTAATTAAGGGGGGGGGGGGGGGCTTCCACAAGCTGACAAAAGCAGAATTTTAAAAAGGGACACAGCTAGGTAACAGACAATATAATAAAGTTTATAACACACATTTTATAGGTTGTTGTAAGAAAAAGAAACATGTTCCGGGTAAAAATGTGTTTCGTTTATTAAAGTTAAGTATTAAAATTATTTAAAAGTGCTCCTTTGAACTAAGGCTTCCCATGCAGCTTGTGAGACCTCCAAAACCAGAGCACAGAACTGCACGTCCAGTAGAACTAAATCAAAAGAATAATCTCTCCCGTTAGCTTTTAAAATCTTATTTTAATCAGTCATTTAAAATAAATATCAGCCTTTAAAGGATAATCACATTAAAAAGTTGTTCATAATTTTTTCCTTTTAAACCATTTAGCATTATGTACAAAAAACAAAGCAAAGTAAAGAGCCTGAGGTTAAGAGTGTGGACATGAGTCATGTAGAACTGTATTCAGTCAGCACCTGATTATCACTGATTCTGCTCACCGTGGAAGCAGCACCAGTTGCCGTACGAAATCTTTTGACATCCTGTCCAGTACCGGCAGATTCAAGAGAGAGACCTCTTTTCACGGCTGCCCCGCTCGTTCCTTCGCTGACCACGATTTCAGACTCAGACTCCGGCTACCAAACCAAACACATGAGCACAGGTAAAGAAAAAAACACGAGTTTATTAAAGTTTAACATTAAAAGAGATTCCCATCGGCTAAAAACAAGCACCTTCCATCTACACTCAATGAAAACATTCCAAGTTAAAATGCAATACTCATTTGGTGACACCGAAGTTGTCAACAGGACAAACGAGCTTTGACATTGATTTGACCCAAAAGAGAAAAACTTTAAAATCACCTGCTGGTCTTTAATTCTCTGTAACTCCCACTTAATAACCACCTCAGCCAAATCCACAGCCAGTTTCCTTTGCTCTATGGTCACACTGGGCGTGAAGCCCAGACGCTGCATCGCGCTGATCATGTGCTGCACCAGGTGGTGGCGGACGGGGTAGTACACCTAAAACACAGAAAGACTAGAGTCAAGGGAGTGGTAACATAATTCACATTTGAAGCACAAGACGTGACTTCAGTTCACTGTCTTTTATTTAACCCTCCTGCTGTTCTTGTGTCAAAATGACCCACAAGGCTCGGTGCTCAAACAGGACTTGTGGGTCATTTTGACTCAAGGCCAGCTGGGGGATGTAAGTGATGAACAGATGGTTACTGGCGCCATTGGGTATTGTTACCAGTGGCAGATGTTTAAATTAGGTAAGAAAAGATAAGTCAAATATGAAATATGTGTTCAATTCAAATAGAGATTTTAATGTGTTTTTTTTTTTTGTAATTATTTCACAACTTTAATGTTCAGTCTGTGCTTTAACATGCAGAATCCATGCATGCAAGATAGTAGGAAATATGTGAAACTTGCAGATTTATCAGCAAAAACATTCTGCAACAAATGGACGAAACTTTGCTTTTATCCATCCATCAAGTGTAGAACCACTAGACTGAGGAACAGCTTCTACCCTGAAGCTGTTAGACTCGTGAATTAGGGCTTTAACAGACTACCCGAGTAATCTACACATCGATTCCTAGGACACCTATTGAGTTTTTTAATTTCACGTTGAGTATTTGTGGTGACGTCATTACGTCGCCGTTACGTCATTGCGTCACGTGATCTGCACCGGGTGCGGGTTACAAAATGGATTCCTCCAAGCAGACGGATGGAGCGGAGCAGGTCCAGTCTTGACAAACAAGTAGAAACGCATCAATAATGTGGAAATATTTCACTAAAGATGAATCTTCTGGTTCAACTACCGTAAGGAAACAGAAAATGAATCAACTTCCTGACTGTTTGGAGCTCGTTGTTGATATAAAAAATGTTTTATAAGGTGTGAAGTTGCCTTTATGCCTATTCAAACATATATATTTTGTGTGTGTTACTTATTCAGAATTAAATGTCTAAAATTGCCATAAAAGCAAGGGTGGAATGATATAGAAATTATTATTTTAATGCTTTTATGTCAATCTAGACCTA